CTCCAACCTATCCTAGCTAGAATTATTTTACTTAGTAAAACTAATATAGTATTTAAATAGGAAATAGGAGGTGTAATATCGCATTAGGTGCTTTTGTAGTATAAATGTAGTTAGAAATCTTTAATCATAGGAATCCTTTCTAAAAGCCATACCTTCTCTAACTTAGCTATTGTTAGGTTGAAGGGATTTGTTAGCTCGATCAAATGATTTATCTAACCCCTCACTCAAATTTAGTCTAAAAACAAGAAGACTATTAGTTTTTAGATTAATTTAGGTTTTTTGTAATAAAGTTTCTACTATGGTATATATTATATTAATAAAAAAAAAAAAAAAAAAAAAAAATAGAAAAACCTTTTCTACAACTTTATTTAAAGCTAGGGAAACTTTTTACTTAGTAAAACTTTCTTTAATTTTTAAAAGATTATTTTAACCAATTATATTATTAAATAGAGTGAGTCAATTATTTGATTTAATTAGTAATCTATGAGTCAACCAAAAAGTAATTATAGTAAAATATAATACAGTTCACTTATAAAAATTAGAGCTTTGTAAATATAGTCTATGCAAATTTAAAACTTTTTTTTTATACTAAATTAATTACTCTTCTAATTTAAAAAACTTTTATAGAGCTTGTTGAGATATATCTAATAGTAGTTAAATCATTTAAATTAGCCTGATAGATGCCAAAATATCTTTAAAAAATCTTTCTTTAACTATGTAAATTTTTTTAAAACAATACTATAATTTTACAAAAAAATTTATATAGTTAAAGAAAAGTTTTTTAAAGATATCTTAACATCCACCAGGCTGATTTAAATAATTTAACCACTATTAAATATATCTTAATAAACTCTACAAAAATCTCTTAAGTCAGAAGAGTAGTTAACTTAGTATAAAAAAAAGTTTTAGATTTATGCAGGCCATATTTACAAAGCCCCAATTTCTATAAGTAATCTGTATCATGTTTCACTATAATCACTCTCTGGTTAACTTATGGATTACCAATTAAAGAATATAGTAAAGAATTAATCAACTTTAGTAGAAGATTCCTATTTCTTTACTTAAAATTAAAAACCAAAACTTTAAACAAAAGATTATTAAATGCTAAAAATATATACTATAATGCACTGACCAAAGTACACTCTTTTTGAGTACCCTCCATGTGAAGTACCTGGGTATTTTGCATGGCAGTTTTTTTTTTGCCAAGAATAATACCCGGGTATTTTATAGTTATTAAAGGCAAGATTTTTGTATAAGACCTGGGTATTTTATACTGTACAATATCTAATATGATAACATTACCGAATTAATGCTATTATGAAATATTTAATATTTGAAAGCCATTAATGTACCAATTTTTGGCAACAATGATAATAGTGTATATCTAATTTTGAATTTTGATAACTCTCAACAGTATAAACAACCAGAAAACATGAAAGTATCAAGGTTTGACATTGTAACAGTTCCTATTGAAGGAATGACTTGCGAATCTTGTGTAAATTCTATAACAAATGCTGTTTGAAAATATCATTTAATACTGTATAGCAGATGACAAAGTGGTGGCAGAAAAAATTTGTGGTGATGTGATCACTAGATAATTTTTTTAACATAGTATGTAATTTGTATGTAATTTATACGTAATTTGTTTTATCAGGTCAGAAGTGGTCAGTGATCACATTACCATAAATTTTTTTGCTATCACTTTGTTACCTTAAAATAATTTAGTAAATTATAAGCAAGATACAAAATTGATTTTATTCAATTCGATTATTTAAGCAAAAAAAAAAATTGCATTTTTTTTTTTATTTGCTTACAATTTTATATTAAAATTTCTAGACTTTCAGTTTATTAATTCCAATTTTGAATAACTGTTAATTCTTTGCTTTCTTTATAATAATCATCATAAACTAACCCACTTTTATTTTTATTTATGTCTTCTTTATCTACATCATTTTCACTATTGTTTTCACCATTATTTTTACTATCATTTTCACTATTATTTTTACTGTTATTTTCATCGTCATTTTCATTATCATTTTGTTTCTCAATTCCTTTTCCTGAATTTATTCAGCTTGTGAGTCTTGTAAAGTCTAAAATTAAATTGTTTTTGGTTTTATCTATCATGTTAGAGATTTCACAACATTTAAAAGACTTCCTGATCATATTAATATTAACAGCTTCCCAAGCCTCTTTTACCCAAGTAGCAACCAAAAGATATAAGGGACGTTTCATTTTGCCAGCTTTAGTGTATTCTTTGATTCCTTCATCTATCCATTAATTATAAAGATTTTGCATCTATTAAAAAAAACTTTTTAATTTAATAATTTTTTTTTACTTTTCCGCTTATTAGATTTTACCTTTAATTTAAATGATTTATTCATAGAGACATTGAGAGGTTGTAAGCAAGATATTAAATCTTTAGAAATTAAAGCCAAGTCAGTATTCTTCTTCCAAAAATGTTATTTTACAGGGTCTGTTTTGTGGCTAGCAAACAAATCCAAGATTAACAAAGAACACGTATTATTTCCACATTGTGCTCGACAGGTCCAAATATTTTCTACTCATCTAAAGATAAATAAATTTTAGTTTCAACCATGGCATGCATTATAATTATCTAAGTTTTTGTATCTACTATAATATCTCATTTTCATTTATCTATTCTGAAGAGTTTGCATATATAATAATACTATTAGGAAAATTTTTATAAGATACTTTAACTAATTTAAAGATAATTAAAGGTAATAATTTAGTTCTATCAGCCATATAGCCAAGAATAACAGTAAAATTCAAACATTTGTACCTAGTTGATAGAATTGATATAGTTTTAGTACCTCGTTCTTCAATTGTGATATTACTTGACATACTAAAAGATATGGAAGTTTCATCCATATTACCAATTAAAGATAAAGAATAGTCATTTCTACACCACTTAAAAAGTACAAGAGATAAAAACTCATTTTGATCCTCAATATAACTCTCAGAGCAACAGTAGTCCGTCTTCGATTTACCAAATTATTTTTAGACATAAATCCGTCTACCTATTTTTGTGAAAATTTATGATTTTGAATTTCTCCATATTTTTCTTAATAATGAGATATAGTACACAATGTGCAAGCTTTGGCTTGAATCATATACCGGCTTACAGTTTTTTGCTGAGATCGAGCTTCTCAAAACTATTCAATTAATTCAGCTTCAAGTTCAGGATATTTTAGCCAGGCCCAAGGTAACAACTTTTGAATGTAAGGTGCAACTTTTAGAAAGTTAGATTTTTTGCTTATCTATTTCCAAAGCTGCTTTCTTTCTATTCCAAATTCATTAGTAATCGAATATTTGCTATGCCCTTTTTCATAGTAGGCAATTATCATTAGTTTTTCATGTGCTAACTATACTCTTTTATTCTTTTTTGTTACTCAAGCACATCAAGCTTTAAAATTTCCATGGGCCATTCTGTTTCAATTATTGATTTGTTCCGGTTTACTGATAATTGCTAGTGGTGGAGTTATTGCAGAGAGCTTCTGCTAATACCTTGCTTCTTCTGTGAAAATACTTTGGTTTCGATAGTTTTTTATTTTTATTTATTTATTTATTGTTTTTATTTTATTTTATTTATTTATTTAATTTGAACCCAAGGGTCACAAGCTAACAGTAATATTTCGTTACTTCATTCCAGTAGTTAAAGAAATTTAAGAAGATATACTGGATATATGTACGTATGGTATATACGTACGTGAAGTTCATTGATTTTCTTTTATATCGACTTGTATTACTTAAAATATGTCGTGTATAATACCCCCAACACAAAATACCCCTCCTAGCAAAAGACCCCCTATGCAAGATACCTGTCACCGATCAAGAGACCCACGGGTATTTTATAGGTTTTTTTTTGGTTAGATTGTCAGTGCACTACGGCATTTAAAATTTGAAAAAAGGTTTATATGTATATTTTTAAATAAATTTGATTTTAACAATTTTTTTACATATAAAATTAGGTGTGTCAACTCATTTGATTTATAAGTAGCAGCATTCAGTTGGACATGTTCTATAACTGTTAATATAAATAAAATTAAAGACTTTTAAACCAAAATAACTTTTTAATAAAGAGTTTTTATATCTATATTTTTTAAATCTCAAGTAATATAATTATAGAAAAAATTATAAAAAATAATTTTTAGTTAAAAAGTCATCAAACTTTAATTAGAGCCAATTATTTTGTAATGTGATTAGATGTCTTGCACCATAGTTAAATTAATTTCAACCGTTGAATTAATTTAACCGCCCTGTAAAAATAATTCGGTTTCGACGGTTGAATTTTATTTCTGCTGTTAAAATATTTTAAAATTGAACTTTAATTTCACCCCATCTACTGTATAGCCACAAAATTACACGTATTCGTAAAATTTTCGAGACGGTGCCGGTGTTTCTTTCGCTATAACCAGGATACTAACGTAATGGTTCTATCAAAATGCATTTAATCATATAAAGGTTGCTTTTTTTTTACTTATCAAACAATTCGAAAATGCAATTTTACTAGATCTACTACTATTTATCATATTATTTAACAAATGTGATGTACAAAATCACTATTATTGTTATTTATTTACCACCTAGCTCGCTTTCCAAAATACCCTCTACCGCCCCGTTGTCTTAAAGGAGGCATACCACCATGCTGACTGTTACTATTAGGCGTATGCTGTTGATTGTCCAAATTAGAAGTGTCTGTAGTATCTGCTGATAAAGGAGTATTAGTGATCGCCACATCCTCTTCAGACGTAACCTGCGATTGAGATTTTGTTAATATTTGAATTTGAACAGGTTGTTTGCTGTCGACACTGGGTTTTCTGCTACGGTCTCTCTCACGACGACGATTGAAAGAGTGTTCTTTTGTCTCAGAGGTAATAGATGTACTAGATGCAGTTGACGTTGTTGTGGTTGGTGGTGATGTTTCGATGGAGCTTTCTGCTACAGATGGTTCTTTAACAGACTCTTTGATAATTTGTCTGATTTGATCTTTTTGCCGTTGTTGAATGGTAATTTTTACGGGTGCGCTTCTCTTGACATCTTTATCTTTTGCGTCTGCTTTTATATCTTCTTCTACTTGCGGTTTAGTCAGAATAGTAACTACAGGAGTTTCTGATTTGGCAGCTCCCACTTGGGCCTTCTGTTTCTCTTTCAACCTTTGCCTTTCTCGCTCCTTTCTTCTTTCTCTTATTTTCTCGCGATCTCTCTCACGATAACTTTCTTTCTCTTTACTTCGATCTTTTGATTTTTCATTGGACTTTTCTTGATCTCTTGCGTCTATAGCTTCCATCTCTTTCTCTCGCACTTTTTCAATATCCTTGGTAGTTTCTTCGTCTTTCGTTTCTTTGGCTCTGTCATTATCTCTTTCCTTCCTATCCTTCTCTTTTCTTTCCTTCTCCTTTTCTTTTTTTTTGCGTTCTCGTTCTTTTCGAGTGGGCTTTCCTAGACCGGAAGGAAGGAAGGTCGCTTCAGAAACCTGCATCCCACGTATTTGTTGTATCTGTTTGGTTTTGGATCCAGAATTCTTTGCGGGAGAGCTAGGCGGAGAAAGGACGGTCATTTGCGATTGCTTTGGAGGTGGTGATTTAGATTTTGCCCCAGATTTTTGAGCCCGCAAATGGTCAAGGAGTGGTGTACTTTTTGGCTTTTCGATAACGTTGGATGCTGCTGTAGCTATTTTAAATTTATACACACAGTTAAATGAAAAGTACATAATAGGATAATAATCTATCCAGAAGAATTTACCGATAGCACTTGTCAGGCGTGCCTCTAATCTTTCCAATTGGGTAGCGCCCCCCTCTAATCCAGTACCTGGTTCTTTTAAAATGGCTTGCCTGTTTTCATCAACCTTTAAAGATTCAAGGAATGCAAGATAATCAGGATCTGAAAATAAAAATATATGAATTTTTTTTTTTTGAAATATTTTGAACAATTTTACATGCCATAAAACAATACCATTTTCAATAGTTCCTTGTCTTGGGTCTGATTTCTTATGGTCTTTTGGTAATTTCTGATAAACTGCAAATTCAACTACTGCTTTATTTTCGTTGCCTATAAGAGTATAGTAGCAATTTATACGATATTAGAAATAATTTTTTACAGATTAATCACAATTTACATGCCTTGCCTGTCGACAAAAAGGTGGTTGTCGTAACCACGGTGAAATTCTAAAACTTGCTCAACACTTCTAAAATGAAAGTAAGCACGAGAAAATATGTTCTCTTTATTTTTACTAATAATAAAGGAGGGTTGATCAATCTAAAAGTTAATTCACAGGTGCTTGTCAATAGTTAGATCATTACCTTTTGCTTATTCGGCCTTGATGGAACCGACACCAATCAACGGTCTCTTCATTTACCCATTGCTTTACGGATTCCATGAATAAATTTTCAGGAAGAAGAGGAGGTAAGCGGCGAACTACAACTTTAGTTTTGGTGGCATTTTTACAACGTCCCGATCGTTTAGCTTTAGATTTTTTTGGCCTTGACGATTTTATTGGTTTACTAGACATTGGTAAGGTCAACATAACTCGATGAACTGCATGTTTCATTATCATCACATAGAAAGAATTTTTTAATTTGATTGGTCAATAATCATGCTTTGATCTACATAAATTAACCAATCACATAGATGTTATAACCGTAAAAATACGTTTTCGTGCTCTAGTTCTTAAAGGTCTAACAATAATATGCCAGAACATATTCATTGTCCTGTTATGAGTGTTATGCGCCAGCAAGAGATCATGTATATGTCCTGTAAATTATGCTATGGAAAATTAGTTTCTCCCACAAGAGAAAAGGGATTAGAGCAACACAAGTATAATAAACAAGACGCGAAAAATTACAAGCATAAAGGGAATGCGCGTATATACGTAGATAAGGGATTATTCACGTGTACCCGCTGTTGTGTTGCTTATGAAGCTTCGGATATATTACACCGATATCGACTTTGCATAGTAATTCCAGTTAATAATTATTTGCAAAAAGGTAGGTACATTCCCGATCTCGGTAGGTTATTATTTATTTGTATTTCTTTTTTACGGTCTAAAATTTTTCTGATAATTTTTTATAGTAACTATCTTTGGAGATAGCTTTGACAGTATTTTTGGCTGTAGTGCGACAAAGTTTCAAGAATTTAAAGAACAATTATTATTGGATTTGGATCCAAGAGAGCTTAATTTTCTTATATTTAGCGCTTTAGAGTGGATACTTGCTGGGGAAATTTATACGTTCACATTTTCTCATGAACAATGGCATTTATTTAAAAAAAGCCAAGTTCAAAGCAACTCTGATAAAAATAACACTTCGATTGTTGCTTCGCGTATGCAATCTATAATGAAACCGTGTTTGACGGTTATCGAATACATCAGGAACTATAACTGCAATTATGAAAAAAAATGGGAAATTTTTTATAAAGAGAGTCAAAAAATTGATGAGCGATTATTTGAAAGATTAGATAATGAATTGAAAGAGGTTATAGTGGACAACACTTATGGATTGACGCACGAAGAACTTTACAGTGACGGCAGTAAAGGATTGTCTCACACGAAATTCATTCATGAACTTGATCATGATGTGTCAGATATATTGTTTGTTGAATTAAGCGATCATTTTGATCTAGATTTATTCCGTAGCCAAACGTACTTTCAAGACAGTGGGGTGTTAACCGAATTTTACTCACAGGACTGGAGTGATCAAGAAAACTTAGACGATATGCTGAACTGGGATCCCCCGGAAAATTGTAATTTTTCCCATGATAATTTAATTCGTGTCTCGTTCAACAGCACACCATCTAGTCTTTCACCGTATTCCTTCAACGTTTACAACTCGCCGTTTGATAAATCGAGCAATCATTCCTTTGATAAGCATGGTGATATCGTTACAGAAAATAGCTTCGATGACTAAACACACTAAAACACATTTATGCGTTATATTTGAGAAGTATGGAAACGTGATTTTGGATTGTCAAATAATTTATATGAACCCCCTAGCACACCCACAAAAAATTGTTTCTGCAATTTTGACCAATCAAATTTCAACAAATCAATGAACAAAAATCACTTCGAAATTTTAATTAAGAAACCACCTTCTGTGGCCTAATTAAAATATTATTCGTGAAATTTACTATTACAGACTAGTGATTTGAATCGGTTGGCCTATAATCGGTTAATCGACCCGAACCGAATAATTTCGGTTAACCGATTGAGGAAATTCTTAATCGGTTGACCCGATACATCCGGTTGAAATTT